TTGAAAAAAAATGCATTTTTTAGTTTCTCTTCATTGTTTTTAATGATTCAAAATATATGTAACAGTTTGCATTTTTATTTACAATACGAAAACAAAATATATATATATATATATAAGAGAAAAAGAAAAGGTTCACGCTCTGTACACTCGGATGCCGTCCGGAATTTGGCATTCTGACATCTTCATCTCGATCAAGCACCTGCACAGCGGACATCTCGCCGTCCGTGCGGAACAGGATAGACACATCAGTAGATGTTGGCAGGGGAGAATGAACACGTCCGAGACCGCATCCAAGCACACCTTGCACGAATCGGACTCTTTCAGGGTTCTCAGCGATTGCCAATCGAAGTCCTCCGGACACAGTTCGCGGAGAACGTCGGCCACCAGATACGCCGTCTCGCCCTTCGCCGGATGGGATCGGACCATATCCTTTGCGTTCGCCAGAACGTCCACCACTCGACTGGTCCCCAGAACGGCGGAGATACAATCCTTCGTCGATGCACGGTCTTGTTCTGTCGGAGAGACTGAGAATCCGTCGATCCGACGCTCGGCCACGGTTCGATGGTGCGGGTCGTCTCCGTCGCAGTGGACCACGCATCTCCTCAATATCTGGAGCGGCATGTTTCCGATTATCAAGTAGTATTCGATCGCAACTTCGGAAGCGACGACGTCGGTCGGAGAATGTACCTGGTATTTTTGAACGTTAGACGAGATGTTTATCTCGTTCCTCAGCATGACTTCTTTCAGGCATTTGACAGTGTTCCGACTCAGGGGGCACAATTTCATGTAACTTCCGTCGAGTAAATTCGCAGTCTGTCTGTCCAAAGTCGCTTTTGAGAGCACCGTGAAGCTTCCCCGAGTGTCACCGTCGTCGACGCACGTCGGTATGTACAGGTTGTACTCGTCGTTCTTGTTCGGGGGTATCTTCAGCCGCACGTTACCGTTGGAAGAAACGAACGAGACGGTGATTTCCTTGATGTTATTCATGTTTGCAATTTGTGGACTTAAACGCGGCGAGAGCGGCTCTTATAAGCCTTTTATTTTGTGGGAGATGCATCACACATGACGTCATGTGTACTTTCAATCACGACGCTTTCTGTATGGTTTCCGGATGAACGAGGATGCATGACACATGACGTCATGTGTACTTCGAATCACGAAGCTTTCTGTATGGTTTCGAGTTGAAAGGAAATGTGTGACGTAGCGAAAAAACCGATGACGTTAGTCTCATCTTAGATAATTATAAGAATGGCCAATTTTTTCGTACGAGACTCTTATCATTTCAAGATGAGCAGCCTCGCGTCAACATCGATGAACGAGAACGGACTCGATTACACGTTTGTGGAAGGGAACGTGTCGGATGATCTGACGTGCGGCGTATGTCTTCTCGCCGTCCGACGAGCGGTGCAGGCGCCGTGCGGCTGCCGGTTTTGCGAAGCCTGCATCAAGGGACGGACGCCCGGCTGCGACGGCGGGGAAAAATTACTCTGTCCGAACTGCGAAGAAAAGTTCGCCGAAGAGGAAATCGCACCCGATCATCACGCACGCCGGAAAATGTCGAAAGCTCTACTTTCCCGTCGCGTGCATGCATCGATCGCGGGGTGTGTGCGACCAAGCTGCCACGCAAGGATCTGCAGAGACATCTGGAAACCGAGTGCGAACATCGTTCGGTCGAATGCACTTTCTGCAAGTCACCCTTCCCGCATCGCGACGTCGAGGCGCACCGACGGAGTATTTACGGTGTCTTGTCCGAACGATTGCGGAGCGAATGACGTTCGAAGGGAAGAGTTGAGAACGCATCTGGACGAACGATGCTCTCGGCAGAAGAGATGCTGCAAATTCGAATTTTACGGGTGCGATTTCAAGGTAGGTTATTATATATCTA